ATGAAATGGAAGTGATCAAATTCTTTGGTACTAGTTATTAATTCATCAGACAAATGTACTGTTTTCAGTTGACTATTCTCAAGGTTTCTATGTAGGTGAATCTATTTTTGTGAACAAAACAATAAGTTAATTATAATGTGTAACAACTGATAATAACTTACATTTTGAGATCGCTTTCCCTCCTGATTTGTGCCATCTTTGGTGTTTCCTTCTTTGCAACACTGGGAGTTACATAACGTAAATTAGAGCTCTTTGCAGTCTAGGAAAATTTTTGTTACTCAAAGGGAAACTGAGAAATCATAATGTTACCTCTCTAACTGGAGTTGAAGCTCAAGACATGTTGCTTCTAATTCTTCACAACAATTGTTTTTGTACTCCAGTTCAACTTCCAAAGATGAGAACTTCTGGAAGACCTCACTCAATTTAGCTTTGGCAACTGTAGCTGAGTATCAAGATCTTCATTGATGACTTCTGATTTCATCTGATCCTCGATCATCTCTTCGTTCTTTTAAAGTTTTCACTTCTTTTTAGTGCTCCAATGTTGTCTTCTGATTCACGAAGTTGTATCACACAGGCCTTGCTCTTATTGGTAAATGCTCCAGCCTAGCTACTATATTCCTCATCTCATCTTTTAGTCTCTTGTTTTCCTCTTGAATATTCCCTGAATACGTTCTGTCTGAATGAAACATTTTGGTCATGCAAAGGACTAGCTGAGACTAAACATGAAGATTGCTCTTCAGATTTATGGACTGTGTTTGATTCCAAAAGCAAACCATCCACTGCAGCTCCAACTTCATTTTCACCTTCCGGTTCATTCCAACCAAAATGCTTCTTATCTTATTCCGTGTGGTTGGAGCATCTTTAGGGGCAAAAGAATTGTTTATAATCCATCTAAGCAATGACACTCCCCACAATTTTTCAAGATCAGATTTTCCATTCAATAGATCATTACAAGTGCAAACCAACTTTTGCAAAAGAGCACTTAGTTCGAACTCCTCCATTGAAAGACATGACATGTGAGTGCACAGGTGTCACTAAATTTAAGGAACTTCTATCCCTCTCTGAAAACTATCTGAAGCATTATAACCAACGAAGATGATATAGGAATCCTTCAATAAGTTCAATGATTTTACGGATTGACTTGATCAGATTAGACTCAAGGTGTTGGCTGCTTCTTTCTTTGATTACACGTGTCATTTACAGCTAAAAAAGCTGAAATTGAAAAAAATAAAAGCAACTGAAAAGTGGCACTTGAAGTATGTGCAACGGCGTATGGTCGTGGTTGCTTTTGCTTCTTAGCCAGTGTGAGGTTGAGAAATAGTAGAATTGAGGCGGAGAGGTTGCAGAGGGCAGCAAAATGAAGCTGGGATTGATGGGAGGCATGCACAGAGCCCCTTGTGCCATCGCACTTCCTCTTCGCCACGTCCAACCCCGACTCATTAGATGCTCTTTTTCTTCTGGTAATCATATCTCTTCTTTTATTAACTTATCTGATATTGTTTTCCCATACTTAATTGCTCACTTTCTATAAACTCTTGCTATTGAAAGTTTAAGATGTATCTATATTGAACTGGGTTGTACTTGTGAATGGATAAGTCTGGGTTCTTTCTTCATGTCAGTTACAGGAATGCTGGACCGGTTTGCATTTCAAATTAATTGTAATGTGTTAGAAAATGTTGACGAGATTAGAATATGAAATGGAACCCACTTTTCTAGTTTTTAATTTAAATTTCTGTTGTCAATTAAAATGCAGGCCATGTGTCATTTATCAAAGATATAGCAGCAACTGATCCTCCTCAGCATCTTGAAGAGTTGCTTAAAGTGCTTCACACTAGAGGTGGGGGGTGCTCAATTTTTTCAGTATTTCATGAGCCTTTACCATATGTGGTTCTAATTTAGCATTGATATGCCATTAATTGTTTTTTTGGAGGTCTAAGCTTCTGTATTGGTGGGATGGTGCTCACTATGTGGAAATTTTTCTGACTTTAATTTTGATGGGAATGAACATTCATGGTCGCTAGTGCTTTTTATAAAAATAAAAAATCCAGAGGATGGCTCCTTGATATATATGCCTAATTAGTTCAAGCTCAATTTAATTTCTGATGATGATAAGCATTTCATTATTATTTGATAAATTGACATGGTAGTGTTGTGATTTTTCTTCAATTTATCCCTAAATAAAACAAATATAGTTACTGCAATTAGGTGCAAGTCTGTCCACTAATCATAATTTGCCACTCTAATCCTCAATGATTGCCCCATTCGGTCCTTAGTTCTCTTGAGTCTGTTAGTAAGTGACTTTTGTAGAATGCTACTATTAATTACACTCTTTATTTTGTGGAGCATCAGGCATGCTTTGAACTATTTCTCCATTTGTTTCATTCAAAGGCATTTTGTGAAGTTCAGACTATGATCACTTCCTACCACAACTTCAAAAGACTTTGAGTTTGTTAGTTTTGATGGATAATTATTTTCTTTTTTTATGGATAATCATATAAGCAATTTATATTCTGTCTTGATGGATAATTGAGTTCTTCTTTCTCATTCTTAAATTTTTTTTATTAGTTGTAATGTTTTGGTCTATATTAGTATATATTTTTGCGCCATAAAAATATGAAGAATATGAAATACAAAGCAGTTATATCTTTCAAGTTTGTAAAATAACACTGTAACCATTGTTTGCTCTCCAATTTTAGGGACTCTAGTAAAGTGTTTTAATCAATTCATTAAGTTTTGTGATAAGTTCCACATTTCAATTTGGTTTGCTGCTAATCTAACTTTATATTTCTGACAGATTTATTTTTTTATATCTTGAATGTTAAACCCGGTGGAGTTATAAAAAATTTCGCCTTGTTCTCTATAGTTTGTATTTTTGAACTATTATCATGTTTCTTTTTTCTTGGTTACAGGTGAAAGCATTGTTTCTCCTGGACATAGGCATGGGCTTATACCCCTGGCCATTCCTCTTTCAGAAAATCTGTCAGGTTATCTGAACATTTGCTTGCATTCTATGATTTTTTACTAGTGAAACAATTTTAACTGGGGAGTTTATAATGAAGCTGTTGGTATATCTGTTATATCCTGACAGTAGGTGCTGTAACTGCATTGCTGAGATGGCCAACAGCTCCACCTGAGTAAGATATTTGAATTTATATCATTGCAATCTGTATGATTTCTATTGCACCAAACACACATACATTGGCAAAGCTTTTATCTCTTAATTTATCTTCATACAACTATTTTTATTCAAACAGAATGGAGATGCCAGTTGTGGAAGTTCGCAAGCATGGGGTGTGGCTTTTAGCCAAGAATGTAATACATTAAACTGAAAGCATGCCATTAATGTGTATATATAACTAGTTCAGTGTACCTGACATTTTACTATATGATATCTTGGAAGTTTCACTTCGTTTCTTTATCTTTTTTCCTTTCCCCCTGGATTTGTGATGTAGAGTTGATTAAGGAACCCCTTGCTCAAGCCCTCTCTCAGAATATTGATCTTATTTTCACAAAGACAATTTACAATTTCCTCCTTTCGCAACCCAGGTAGATCAGTATATTCATCGAATCTTGGTTGAAGAAGATGCTCACCTCTCAGAAGAAAGCAATGGTGAATTATTTGAAGCTTCTTCTGAGGCTGGTAAGAAACTTTACAGAAGAGGTGATTTTGCTGAATCTCCGATTAAGAACCTTGATAGTTATCTCTTGAAAAAGGTATATATACTGTTGTGAGTTAAGATTTAAAAGGGAATCTTCTCGATGCATGGTGACAATTTATTGTCTGTCCTTCAGGTTGGTCTGTTTCCAGATGTTTTAGAGCGTAAAGTGATGCGACATTTTGAGCAAGGGGATCATGTAATTAGATTTTCTAAATTTTCGTCCTTTGTGTAACACATTTGTGCTGCTGAGATTGCTTAGTGTAATAAGATTTTCTTTATTTTGCATTTGTGAATGGAAGGTTTCAGCTATGGTGACAGGAGAGTTCTATACAAAAAGGGACCTCTTTCCAGGATTTGGAAGGCCATTCGTGTTTAATGCCGAGATTTTGGTGAAGTTAGTAGAATTTTCTCTTAAATATTTTCATCTGATATTTTTAGACTGAGCCCCATTGCCCTTCTCTATATCTGAAGAGAAATTTTAAAACTATCTGTAGAGTAGGGCGTGTCTCAGAAGCTAAAGATTCTGCAAGGGTGGCTTTGAAATCTCCATGGTGGACTCTAGGCTGCGCATATCAGGCATGGAGCATTTCTTTGATTTTTATCCTCTTTTCTTTCAAATTCTATCCTTTACTTTCCTTTTCCCGTGTAGTGACATCTGCTGAAATTAACCAGGAAATTGCCTGCATTGCACAATGGGAGGATGAACAAATCGAATACATAAAGGAAAAGGTGACAGAAGAGGGTAGACAAGAAGATCTGAAAAAGGGAAAGGCACCTGTCCAGGTACCGATGTGGTGGAGTTCTTTTGTTTAATTTGCTTTTCAAACTTAATTGAAGGGAAGCTTTTGTATGATTAGACCTTGATATGAGGTTTTATAATAAAGTGTTCATTCTGATTTCTCCATGCAGATTGCATTGGATGAGGCTGCTTTTCTTCTGGATTTAGCTTCTATTGAGGGAACCTGGGCTGACTCTTTAGAGCGCATTGCTGAATGCTATAAGGAGGCTGGACTCAATGAAATTGCAAGATTTATTTTGTATAGAGATTGAATATCAAAAGGAGAGAACAATGGCTGAGTAATGAACTCGTGTCCCTGTTTGGTACTTTGATTGTCTTTTAGTTGGCTTTTCTGATAAAAACATTTGACTGTCTTTTAGTTGGCTTTTCTGATAAAAACAAGCAATAGAGAAGCAGTCCATTTCTTTATTTTTTTTTGTAAGCCTTTTAATGTAACATTTTTGTTAACTCTATGCAATTAAATACAGAATTTATATATATATATATATAGAGGGTGTAGTGGCTGCAAGAAAAAGCACTTCGGCTCAATTGACATGCCATAATTTCAATCAATTCTCAATTCATAAAGCTTTATGGTCCAACCCCACAACAGATGACCACTCTCTCGCGCAAGCTTTCAATACAGAATTACTTTGGATCTCCAGGGCATAAAACCAGATATATTTACATTAGCAACACTTAAGAGATGCTATAAAACAATATCCCTTCTCTCGCTCTAGTCTCACAGTAAAAGATCCAAAGAAGCCAAGTTTTCACCATTTCCAATCACCAAGGTGGAAAATTAAACAGCAAATGATCAACAACTGAAGCATGAAGACAACTGGATTTATTTCTTCATCGAACATGTGCTATTGCTGCTATGGCAGCAGTGGTTCTCCTTCAACTTTGCCATGGACCGTGGCTTCTTTATATTTTCTATTTAGACCATGGCTAACGGTTTAGATTTCTTGCTGCTCCCTTTCTTCCTTCTCAACAGTAGTTTCATCAGTAAACCAATTCCTCGTTTTTTGCTTGGCACAATAGCTAGAGAGCTTGCTGCAGTATTACTGGCTTTATTCTTTGAATCACGATATGTGTCTGGAGTGTGGACCAGTGCATTAGGATCATGTAAATAATTGCAATCCTTTGAGTCAAGAAGTGATGGTTTTGGTACATCTTCAATACTTAAAGTTCCTTTCTTATGGAAAGACTTGACAACTTCTGCCTTAGCACCATCTTCTGCTATCATTTGATCGCGTAAGGAGAAACGTTTGTTCAACTTCTTGTTAATAGCTGTAGTGGTTGCAGAATTGGTACTAGAAAAAACATTGTCAAAAAGCACTGCTTCCCGTGGCGAAGCCAGTGCCTTTAACTGTTTTCCCAGGTTTAAAATGGTCTCTTGGCACTCTGCCAACTTCACGGAAGCTGCTGTAATCTCCCAACCCTGCATATTTAAACAGCAGCATTCATGTCGAAGCAGTGATTTATTAATTGTTTTCTTTTCTCAGTTGCACTGATGGTTTTCCTTCTTAAAAGAGGTTGCAATTAATGCAAAATGTAAGATTTCCCTATGGTGAAATGATCTAACTATAAAATAATCTAGCTACATCTTGGCAGTCGTTATATGATGAAAGTCAATGAGTCACAAATTATGAAATGGAAGTGATCAAATTCTTTGGTACTAGTTAGTATAATTCATCAGACAAATGTAACTGTTTTCAGTTAGCTATTCTCAAGGTTTCTATGTAGGTGAATCTATTTTTGTGAACAAAACAATAAGTTAATTATAATGTGTAACAACTGATAATAACTTACATTTTGAGATCGCTTTCCCTCCTGATTTGTGCCATACTTTGGTGTTTCCTTCTTTGCAACACTGGGAGTTACATAACATGTAAATTAGAGCTCCTTTGCAGTCTAGGAAAATTTTTGTTTACTACAAAGGGAAACTGAGAAATCATAATGTTACCTCTCTAACTGGAGTTGAAGCTCAAGACATGTTGCTTCTAATTCTTCACAACAATTGTTTTTGTACTCCAGTTCAACTTCCAAAGATGAGAACTTCTGGAAGACCTCACTCAATTTAGCTTTGGCAACTGTAAGCTGAGTATCAAGATCTTCATTGATTGACTTCTGATTTTCAATCTGATCCTCGATCATCTCTTTCGATTCTTTTAAAATTTTCACTTCTTCTTTTAGTGCTCCAATGTTGTCTTCTGATTCACGAAGTTGTATCATCAAGGCCTTGCTCTTATTGGTAAATGACTCCAGCCTAGCTTCTATATTCCTCATCTCATCTTTTAGTCTCTTGTTTTCCCCTTGAATATTGCCCTGAATACGTTCTGTCTGGAATGAAACATTTTGGTCATGCAAAGGACTAGCTGAGACTAAACATGAAGATTGCTCTTCAGATTTATGGACTGTGTTTGATTCCAAAAGCAAACCATCCACTGCAGCTCCAACTTCATTTTCACCTTCCGGTTCATTCCAACCAAAATGCTTCATCTTATTCCGTGTGGTTGGAGCATCTTTAGGGGCAAAAGAATTGTTTATAATCCAGTCTAAAGCAAATGACAGCTCCCCAACAAATTTTTCAAGATCAGATTTTCCATTCAATAGATCATTACAAGTGCAAACCAACTTTTGCAAAAGAGCACTTAGTTCAGAACTCCTCCATTGAAAGACATGGACAGTGTAGTGCACAGGTGTCACTAAATTTAAGGAACTTCTATCCCTCTCTGAAAAACTATCTGAAGCATTATAACCAACTGAAGATGATATAGGGAATCCTTCAATAAGTTCAATGATTTTACGGATTGACTTGATCAGATTAGACTCAAGGTGTTGGCTGCTTCTTTCTTTGATTAACGTGTCAATTCCAGAATCTGCATCCAAGGAATGTGAGGTTGGAGATAAGTTTGGAGATTTCAAAGCTATTTCACCGCTAATCTGAAGAGCTTTCAGTTCTCCAGTATGCCTTGAGATAGCAACTGATTCAGCTTCAGAGACAGTTGGGTGCTTTATAAAACCCAAAGCAATTCTGATATCCTCTAGAAGTTCATTTAGACTTTGTTTTGAAATGTGTTTTTGCTTCAAAATTGTATTCAAAACAACCTGGAGCCAGTCAAAAGATTTTTCAGTGGCTATATCTTCTGAGTGGATCTCTGGTTTTGTCTCGGTAGGGTTGGAATGACTTTGTACCACTGGAACTAATTCCTTACCAGTTACATCAGGCTGACAGCCACCACCAGGGGCTGTTTCCAGAGAAACTATAGCTAATTTCTCCATCTCTACAAAGTCGTCCATTAAGCTCATGTCCGAAACATCAATAGGCTTGTGTTCCAGTTGATGCTTGAGTTTTCCAGCTTTGAAATGTGCCAATTCCGAAATTAGAGCATTAGCCCATGATCCAGAAGAGCTAATCCCATCATCACTTGCATTGTGAACCGGCATTATGGAAAGTTCACTAGATACAGGGCCACAAATTGCCAGCTCCCTAGGTTTCTGAACTTTACATAGCTCTTTAAGATGAGCCTCAACATGAGATAATCTGGAAGCTGTACGGGAATACATCATCCTTGAAGCCTGGAGTTCAGTGCTCTTCATAGTCACAGTTTCTTTCAGAGTTTTGTTTTCTTCTTCAATATCACGTAATCGCTCAATCAGAAGGGAATTGTTACTGAAATTTTCAGGAGAGAACTCCATTATGGCTTCTCTAACTATCAAATCTCTTGAAGGCTTCAAATTTCTTCTTTTCATCTCCATCTGATCCCTTCCCACGGTTTTGAATTCAGCCTTCACCTTTTCCAAAGCAGCAGGACCTGGAAGCTTTTTTCGCATCAAAAGTCGTAGTCTCTGACATTCTCCTTCAAGTTTTGCGATTTTCTTCACACTCTCCAAGTGTTGCTTATGTGCTGCATCAACAGATCGCCGGTTATACTCCATCTCATCGTTCCGAATCTCAAGCTCTTTCTCAAGAATGCGAAACTCATACTTCAGAAAAGCATTTTCTTTTTCTGTGGCATCTAATCTAGTCATTAGTGTATTAAATTCTGCTTCTGCCTGAGACTTGCTTTTGTGTAGATCTTCAATCTGTTTCTCTTTGACTAGGAGAGCCTTACTTAAATGACTATTCTCAGCAGCTAACTTCGCAAGACTTTTATTAGCCTCTGCTAAGTTATGTTCCAATTCTTTTCGAATCTTCTCAAATTCATTGGATGTCTTCATGACAGCATCATGTATCCTTTTCTCCTGTTCTTCTTGAACAAAGTTTAACTGCTGCTTACATTTCATCAATGCTGTATCTGAACAAGCTAATTTCTCTTCTGTAGCAAGTCCATGCCTCAAAGCTTCATTGAGTTCTTTTTTCAGGAAAGCTGTTTCCACTTCTGACTTTTCCCGGCCTAAGAAAATATATATTCATTGAATCAGAATATAAAAAGTAAATATTCAAAGAAGGGAAAGCTATGGAATATGGAAAAAAGTTGGCAGGAAAAGGATAACAGTGATTCACCTGCAACAGCTTCTTGGGCAAGTTTTGCATGTTTTCTCAGAAGGTCATCTTGAGGATGACAATCGAGGAGGACTGAAGCTAACTTCTCATTAAGATTTTTCACAGATCTCTCTGGTCCTACTGCTTTTTCTGTTGGAAGTTTTTGTACCTTATACAATGCATAACAAAAGTATATCAGAAACTTATGTATAAAAAGTGTGTCAAACGAAGTAGAGGAGATTCTGTTACCTCTTCATCAATTCTTTTCAGTGTAATGTCAACTTTGTCAGCAACAATAGTCTTTTCTGAAGATTTTTTCCTCCAAAGCCATGCCTTGTTGTCCATGATTTAGTTTCTGTGAATACAGAGATAAAATGGAATATTGTTACATTAAAGGTTTACTTTACCAAATTGAGCCATGTGGTTAATAAAACATCTATAAAAGAGAACCATTAATCCGAAATTCCCATGGGAAAAGAGAATATCAGTTTAATATTGGAAAACGAGGCAAATGTACACAATTAAAAACCAATAATTCATATCCTACAAGTTATTTAATGATTTTATGTGCAATCTGATGCAGACTGCAAGTTGAATAACTGTTTCTAACCACACTCTAGGACATGAAATCTACATGTATCATAATTGCAGGTAACTGCAATTTCATTGAGCACACGTGAAAGAAGAGAGAACCAAGCAGCTGGGTTCTGATTATGGTTATACAAGAACGACAACAACAATTAATGATAGTAAGATAATTATCATATACGATTACAATGCACGTTTGACTAAAATCAGATCACTTTAGTACGGAATGAGCAAGCATTAACCTCTTGGAGGAGCAAACCCTCTGATTTGATGGATAAAATAAAACTGCCCTTAATTTGCAATTTAGTATAACTTACAAGGATGCTCGGTTCATTTTCAAGGCAAATTAAAGTATTTGGTAAAATCATCAACCTCAGAGCATACATGATATATATATAGAAATGGATGCATGATCATTTAGACTTCAAATCCAGAAGTTTATTATGGCATATTCTTCAGTAAACCCGAATACAAGCTACTGTCGTTGGTTCTAGTTCTACAACCCATAATTAGCTTATTTTATCTTCATAATGATCAGCAAGCAGCACCAATGTACTTTTAACAGAATATTATAAGCAAACACTAGAATGATCCAAGAAAAAGAAAAGCATGGCACAAATGACTTTAAATGTAAAAGCCAACTCACTCAAACTAGTGAATCAAACACAGTTGTGCTTCAAATTAACCTCAAAACTTATGAGAGCCACCCACATAAAATAATTTACTCATCATTCTGTATAAGCACATGCAGCATATATACACACCCAAAAAATAAGGAAATTTTCCATTAAAACAAGTTGTTCTCACCTGCACAATAGGGTGGAGTTCTTGTATCGAAGCATAGAGTAAGAGAGAAAGAGAAAGAGAAAGAGAGAAAGAGAAAGAGAAAGAGAGAGTGAGTGTGTTTGTGTCTGTGTTGAAACTGAAACCACACAAAAAGCGGAATGAATGAAGGTGAGTACTAATTAACAGAGGACGATCATGCAATGCAAGGACTGGTTTGCATTGGATGCTACTATTCCACCGACACCTAATTAATTGCTACTAATTATTAATACTATATCTCCTCCTCCCAGTCCCCATAGATGAAAGAGAGAGAAAAGAGAGCACTATTCAGTACCCAAAAGAAAAAAAGGAGCAATGAGAATGCATCGCCAATGGTTGAAATGTTTAACACACTCTCTCTCCATCTGTTAAGGTATATTTGTCTTTGTCTTTGTCTTTGTCTTACCTAAAACAAATATCATTGTCTCTTTTAATTTTATGGTTTTACGTCCAATTCCCTGTTTCTTTTTATTTCTTGATTAATGTTTTAATAAAATATTATCATTAAGATAATATTTTTATTTTAAATTCAATGATATAAATCACCACTGGGTGGTCTAGTAATCAATTAAAACTCTTGAGTGTATTACTTAAGAGATTTTGAGTTGATTCACCTCGATTACTAATAAGAATGACCTCTAGATCTTTTATCTAATCGGTAATTTCAGGGTCTCCAATGATTAGTTAAGATACGTCTAAGTTGACCCAAACACTCCAGTGTTTTAAAAAACAATATGCAAGGATATAAGTTTTATTTTTATTAATAAAAAGACACTTTTAGTTAATCATCGGATACTTTTGACACATTTTATTGGTAGATAAATATTTCATATATTTTCTTTTAAATTATTAAAAATGTTTTTTAAATTATAAAAAAGCATTTTATATTCTTTTGGTTATAGGTTTTCAAATAATATTCTCTAAATGATAAAACTTATATTATAATGAAGGTTTTTTTTTTTTTTTATATATATAGTAAATTTCGTATGTTTGGCCTTTTATATGTGAGCATTTACTGGTTTTAGAAATGCGATCTTAATCTCCATTATTTACGAACCATGAGGCTATTATGTTTAAGTTTGAAGGAAATGACATTTTTACAATTTACTCAAATTTAATCAATCTAACATCCAAAGTCAAATATTTTGAGGCAGTCGTTGGGTAATTGAAACTCGAAAGAAAAAGTAGATAGGCATAGCAAAGAGTCTAAAGACGAGCGGTGATAAAGAAAAAGACAGATCGGGGTCAGGATGAAAGTAATTATGTAACGTAGATACAGACACGCTGTCACTCTCTTTGCTTTGCTGTGCTTTGTTAGATTTTCTTTTCTTTTCTTTTATTTCAATCCCTACCCTACCAACCTTCCTCCACTATTTCACCAAACACACACGCGCTTCACTACACCCTTATTACTTTACAGCTCGTCCTTTCCACGCTCTTTAAATGCGATGTACAATTAAATTCTCACTTCATCATTATGTCTCCATTATCATTACACTAATTACCTTTTAAAGTTAATCACGCTTTCGCCCTCATATTTCCTTAAATATCATTTCGCATGCTAATGAAGGGAAATTTCCCTTAACCCCCCCACGTGTTTCAGCCTTTCGTGAGCTCCCACTGGTTTCGTAAATTGGACTTTCATAGTCTACTCTAAACCCCATTCATTACATGTCGGTTAGTGAACAGTCATTAATTGGGAAATGACCATTTTACCCTTTTTCAACTCAACACCTAAGCCCCAATCCCCATTACTCAAAAAGGAAAAATGACCGTTTCTGGTCAAATTTACGACAATCTGATCGAAAACTGCCAGATCAGTGCATGGTCGACCAGATTGGATGCGACTAGTAGTGGTGGTCGACGGTCCTCTTGAATTGCTTGTAAATTGTTTTGAAATCAAGGACATTACTGTCCAAAAAATTAATTACTTAAGGGTAAAATTGTAATAGCAGGGTTCATGTAAATTAATTTCAAAACAACAGTATTATTGTCCATAAATTTTAATACTTAGGGTTAAAATTATAACAAAAATAAAATTACCAAGTAATCTCAAAATACCTAAGAAAATTATGGTATTACCTATATAACCAATAATAATTACTATTGGTTTTAAAGGATTACCAGAATCTTATATTACTTAACAACCAAACATGATAATGTAAGTAATATAAGATAGCATTACCTCGATAATGCGAAATAACCACCAACCAAACATGCCCTTAAGGGTGCGTTTAGTTTAAAGAATATTGGATTACTGGAATTTTATATTACCTTGAATATTACTAGGAATCTTTAAGAAAATGTGTTTGGTTAATTGGAATAAATTGGTAGGTATGTTATATTAATATGTTTAGTTAGGAGGAATAAATTGGTGGGTATGTTATTTAAATTACTAAATTGCCCTCTTTTCAAATATTAATATAATATTATTTTTATTATTAACTTTTAATAACTTTTTTTAACCCCTAATATTTCAAATTTAGCTAAAACACCCCCACTTATATAAAACTTTAATTTTAATAAACTCACCCCCATCACCCTGCCGCCACCGCAAACCGTCGCCATGGGTAGCCCACCATGACGGGAGGCCTCAATATGGCCTTTTCTGCCATCAATATGGCCAAAAACGGCCATATCGAGGCCTCCCGGTCACGATGGGCTGCTCACGGCGACTCTAAGTGACTTCCGGCGACTTCCCACGGTGGCCGACGGTGGTTTGTCTAGCGACAGGCAACAGCAGGTGAGTGGGGGTGGTGGCTTGGGTAAGCTGAAATTTGTTTTGATTTCAAGGGTAATTTTGTCAACAAAGTTAATTAATTGGGATAAAATGGTAAAAGCAAGATTCATGTAAATAAATTTAAAAATAAGGACATTATTGTTCTAAATTTTATTAATAAGGGATAGAATTGTAACAAAAAAAAAAAAAAGATTACCCAAGTAATCTTACAATACCTAAGAAAATTGAGGTAATCAGATTACCTCCAATATTACCAACAGTAGCCACTATTGGTATTTGAAGATTACTGGTATCTTATATTACTTGACAATCAAACATGGTAATCAAGTAATATAAGATGACTTAACTCCAGTAATCTCACATAACCCCCAACCAAACGCCCCCAAAGGATAACCCCTTTTACTCAATTAATAATTATGCTAAATTGTGTAAGAATTGAATTATGATAAGCTTTTATGTTGTAATAATATTAATACTATTTTAACCACAAGTTTTACTCCCTATTTTAACCAAAGATTGATTGTTTTCATTAAGTTAACATCTCAAAAGGGTAATAATTATTAGCCATGATTAATACATAATTTCATGCATTTAAACATGTTCTTCCTACTTAGGCAACGGAGAAAAGTGTCCTTGTTAAATCAATGGCACCGCCAGGTAAACAACATTATCTTATAAGATTAACAAGTGATAAATTTATAATACATAAACTCAATTAATTATATTCGAAAAGAAGGAACAATCATTTTACAAATGACTTGGCTTAATTCTTACTTTTATTAAATATATACATTCTAAACATTAATTACTTTTTTCTTTAAATAAAGAGTTTATTACAATTTCCCTTTGAGTTATCATAAAAATAACAATTTAATGACTTGGGTTTGATCAAACAGTTAATGGGTTAGTTTAATGACACAACAACTCAATATTCAATCTCCAACGCCTTAAATAGAATTTGAGCTTCACAATTTAATTTATTGTGTGTTGCTATGTTTTATTTTTAATTTTTTATTATAACCAGAGGTGTCCAATCCAGTTTATGCATACTTCAACTAATTTCTCGAGACTCTAGAACTACCGGCCGGATAAGAGTTTCAGTGGCTATCCCTAATAGCAACTAATGAGGGACTCAAACGCAAAACTTTTTGAATAATATACTAAAATCTCTATCGAACCACTCAGCTAACCAGGGTTGGTTTAATGACACATTGTTATACCATACAAAGTGGGGGGAAAGCGCTGAAAACGCAAATAATTTTAATTAAGATGTAATGGCCACTTAATCATGGAACATAAATTTTTAGAATAATGTGGTGCTATAATGAATAGAAAAAGCTATTTATATAATCATTAACATTGCCCCATTTATCATAGACTGTATTATCTTAACATCATCAAGATTTTCAGATGGATAATGTTATGTTAATCCATTTCATCTGCTTTCAGATGGATAATGTTATGTTAATCCATTTCATCTGCTCACTGCTTCCAAACACAATCCCGCATTCTTACCAGTAATTCTAGTCTCTAGTGACATTATATATATATTGATTTGTATAAGGATAATGTTATATTTACAAAGAAATCTTATAAAGATCTTCATACAAAGTGATGTGACAACAAATGAATGAATGAATGAATGAGTGAATATAATGAATTTGACTTTTTGTTTCACTCTTCCATTCATTTTTTACCACCTCACTTTATATAGAAGTCTTTGTAAGATTTCTTTGTAAGTATAGTATTATTGTTTATATAATTGTCAATCACAATCACAATCCTTATTTGTTCAGGTAAGAACTTGTGTCTGGATTTATGTATCCTACTAAGTTTGATAATATTCATTATAATGTCAAAACAATTTTTATGTTTTATTATGTATCTATATGAATTGATATTATTCTATTCCAAGATTCTTTTTCGATATCTTTTGTTGTTACGTAAAAATGCAACAACCAGAGATACCTAATCGACCACGGCGGGATTAGATAGATGTTTGCATGATTAAGAATAATCAGCTAGGAATGGATTAGTAAAGAGATGATAAGAGAACCAAAAAGATTTTTAAAATGGTTCGGTGGGTTACAACCAAGCCTACATTTACTGATATATTATTGCTTTGTATTTGCTTTACACATAGAGTGATTACAGGGAGAAACACGTTAAGGCGAGCTAAAATTTTCTCTAAGTCGTTTCTTGTTCTTGTGTGAATAATTGATCCCTCAAAACGAAGTTAGTCTCCCCCTTTATATACTTTGTCTGATAGTGGTTGGGAGTGGTTGTTACGGGATGGAAGCGACACATGGGGTGAGCTTGACCGTTAGATTTTGGCATGGTGTAGAGGACAGGTGACACGAATCTAGTCATCCAAAAGAACTGCATAACACCTTCCAATGAAAATTCATGATTGATTCCCAAATTGATGGGTTACCGTTGTGTGTGGTTTTTTCGCCAAGCTCAGGCCAACTAGAGGATATAGCTCAATCCAGAATGAGCTCGACAATTATGATTGATTGACCCAGCATAAGCTAGTCACAAACAATTCAAGGAATCATTCAATCAATCCTCAGATTACTTCAAATCCTAGATATTACAGGAACCACTGGATCAATAGTGATCACTGCGCAATTACATCGCCCAATCGCGAGGATATTGGAATTATGATTCAAATCAGTTGTAATCCCTTGAATTTTGTTTCTTCCTTTGTACAAATATTGTATATAAACCCCCCTCGGACAATGAGAAAAGGGTTACGAATTTCAGATAAGAATTGCATTGTAAGCTCCCACAACAAATACAAAAATGTAGTGGACGTAGGCTGTTAACTTGGTCGAACCACTTTAAAAATCTCCTTGTTTTTTGTTCATTTCATTCATATTCATCACTAATTATGACTAATCATGCACACATCGGTTCCAATCTCGGAAAGGTCGATCAGATCTCGCTAGTTGGTGCAAAATTTTATACTAACATTTTGGCACCATAAGGAGGGTCCCGCCAAAATTTTGAAGATTTCGACAAACGTTCACTGTAATTTATCTGTTCCAAGACCGAAATGGTATACACCAGATCGAAAACTATCACCAAAAATCATGAGAACATGGAAACCACCCACCAGGAGGTGCAATAGGAGAACGTTGGATGCTGACCACCTGTGCCGCCAACTCAACACACCGCAAACAACCAGGGGGCAGGGACGTCAGTGTTAGAGTAGGTGCCTTAGAGCCAATCAAATATTGTAGAATTGACTCTTTGTAAAAATGTTTATTGATCAATTAAAAGGCATTTTATACTATATCACGTAAATCATCATTGTATGTATTGATATATGTCCTTAAAATAGTAGAACCATGACGACGGTATCAAGTGTTTTAAATCTTTATAGTGAGGACCCTATGAGGTCATATGGTGGCCATTTTAGAAATGTCCGTAGCCCCAGTATTATTCTGAAGTAAGGGCATAGATAATACCGTAAGACTGTCATAGTGTTGAACGACCCTGTCAAAAAGCAGTGACTGATCTCACTTGTCAAGGTTGTTTGGTGACAACTTGGTGCAACACGTAGGTGCTTGCTGTAGGCAAGTTCACTGGATTGACTTACCAGAGGATTCCATATGAATGGTAACCCCAGTGTCATAGAACAAATCCTTTAACGAATGGTAATGCATGTGATCCTTAGACTTGAGATCACCGGAGCGCCTTGTGCACCGATTAGTGTAGTTTGACACTAGCCTAACGCAGTTCTATTCAGAGCTACAATACGATGGTGATTTGCTACATCAAAGAGTGTATCAAGACTATGGTGGATAGACAGAGATTTCATCACTCCCGGGTACGGAAAAAGTTATCTCACGGCGTAATTTAGTAAATGACAATTACACTAAAATTGTGGCCACAGTGGGATTGAGTTGTTATTCTATCTAGTTTATAATACAAGTTATTGGTCCAATAACTGAATACACAATATCGAGAGTAATCAAAGGTTGACACTATTTCTATGCCTCGGTCTCGTCGAGATAACGGATGATGAAATGATTGAATTGTATGGTAACCATATCGTTGACAGGTAGCTACTTTGCTGAATCCGAATCTATCGGGTGGCCATGATGCCTTGCTAGGGGCCAATTTTGGTCTGTGTTTAGTGAGACGATTAATTGGTATTAATCGCGATACTACACACTGCCGGTAAGATGAGAAGCCTATGGGTCACACACATAAAAGATAATTTAAGAGCCAGGAAGTTAGAAGGGCGTTTTCGTCTTTTTGGACAAAAGGGTATTTTGATAATTTCACAGTACAATTAAATTTGCTGAGGTCGTAGCCTTTATTTAATTTGTTAGAAAAATTAAATAAGTGAGATTACATTTAAATATGTGTTCGTGTACATTTAAATAAATTATCATTATTGTTAAATGTTAATATATATATTAAATATATATTAATTGATTTTAATTGAGATAATGATAAACAAAATTAAAATATCTAAATGGAAGCGTTTGGAAACAAGGGGTGTTTGGGTTGGAGCCCAAGCCTATTCCATAAGGGAATAGGACAATTAATATTACACTATAAAAGTAAAAGTTTAATTGAGAGATAGAAGATTCATTCATTTTTCATTTTTCAAAGAGAAGAAAAAACTACAACACCCAAAACACTCTCTCACGCCAGATTTGGGTTTTGGTTTTAAATCAAATACTCTTCATTTCTTCTTTGTTCTTAAGGCTGAAGAGGATCTAGCAAATCCATCTTTAGTTCCTTACGATTATCTTCGTGTGGACTACATCGGTTCGATCCTACACTTGGGTCGGTAGCGAAACCCATTCCAAGACAAGTTGGAGGAGCCTCCAAACATAGGTATGGTTTCTAAACCTTTAAAATGATTTTCTGCAGATTCGATTATAATGTATAAACTATAATTTTTGTACCCTGATCTTGGTTCTAAGGAACGATCTATCATGCTATTAATTTTTGTTTTCCACTGCGTCAATGGATCGTTTCCTAACAGTCAGCCCCCGAGAACGACCAGCTGATGGAGATGATCAGAACAATGGTTGCACAGGCAGTGCAATAGAACATGGCTAAGCTGAGGAACCAACAACCAGCTGCCCAGAACCATGACCAGCCACGTTTCGCCAATGCAATCCCAACAGGTTTGAATTTTGCAGGTGGAGAGTCTGTTTCGTCACCGCTAAGGGGCGATCAACACCTCCAACCTCGCAGACAGCACTCCACACACGAGCATGAGTCTCGCAGGTAAACAAACTCTGGGAGGCTGCCAAGGAAATAGTCACTGAGGGATAGTAAAGGCGACAGACACCACCAAGAAGCCCGGTGGTATCCCCACCATTAGCGTGTTGGTTTTAACCCACTCCCCAAGGCAAGATTAATCTTCACAGGCTCGCGAAGTGAGTCATGTGTGTCAATCCGGTTAATCCGGTTATGACCGATGTCGCGAGCAACGTACTGATGAACATGATAGCACATATCAACCCAACCATCATGCCTCGACCTCGCGCATCAATGCGCACGCTGGAGGAGCTTTGCAAGCAATAGACTTGCAGACTCATTTGCTTGAGGTGAGGCTTAACAGAGCCAGCCAGGATAACCAAAATGAAGACATAGATCGCATGCAAAGGATGCTTGACGATCTAAAAGCTTGCCAGAACAACTTGGCAGAGGAAGTAATAAGTTCTCTCTTTACGGAAGAAGTTCATCAAGCCCCGCTCCCATAAGGGTTCAGGGCATCGAAAAGCAAGTTTGACGGGAGAGGGGACCCTAAAGACCACCTCGACAACTTCAATGACCTGATGGAGCTACACTAAGTTAGTGACTTGGCGAAATATTGGTGCTTTGCAGTCACATTAGTCGGAGATGCCAAGAGGTGGTACAAAAGGCTCAAAGCGAACTCCATCAACTGTTGGCAACAATTCTCCTCGTTGTATGTACAGCAATTTCAGGCGAGGAAGCAGTTCACGATGCCGCTTAGCTACTTGAGCAACATTCGCCAAGAGCAAGATGAATCACTGACCTCATATTTAACGAGGTTCCAAAACAAGCAGGCAAAAGTCCCTGACGCCCTCGAAGAATCCATTCAAACTTTGTTGATCGCAGGGATCAGACCTAACACAGAACTGTGGAAATAGCTCCAGAGTGAAGATCATGTGAGCCTGGCCAAATTCTACCAGATGGCCGTGAAATACCAGTGAGTAAAGATCTCGCTAGCAGCACTAGCCAAAAGCTCAACGCGGGGGGTCTCGGACAGGAGACAAGATCGCCCCTCAGGTAAGTGTGGGGGTCATGATTACAATACAGGGATCGCAACAGGTCCCAGAAGAAACAGCGGTGACAAGCAACCTTTCCCGCAGTATGCAGAATACACACCCATCACTCAAGACATCACCCACATCTAAGAAGTGTCTCGAGAGGCGAAGAGAGTGCCCGCTCCAAAAACGATAAGGGGGCTCCGGGTAGAAGAGACATGTAGAAATATTGTCAATACCATAGATATGTCAGGCACAACATGAATAATTATTGAGCCTTGAAAGATGCCATCGAAGACTTGATAAGAAGAGGCCACCTGAAAGAATTTGTTAAGGTAGAACTGGCTCATGAAAACCCTGGCGAGCGAAGTAGTCAGGCCCTAAGACAGGTTTAGGTTCCAACTCAACAGGCTCAACCAAATCCCAATGAAGTCTTCATAAATATGATCTACGGAGGGCCCGACATAACAAGGAGCTCGAGACGGGCTCGCGAGCAGTATGCTCAGGAAGCGAGGACAGACTCGGTCTCTCGAATAATGAGCTACAAGAGGAATCCACCCAAGTGGCCCAAACAGGAAAGCGAGGTAGTGGGGTTCACAGTTGACGAGTACGAAACATCTCCACGTCATAATCATGATGCGATTGTAATCGTGGTCAAGATCGACAATGCAAGAATGTTAAGGGTTATGGTCGACAACGAGAGCATGGCAAACATCATATTCTTGGGTACTTCCGAGGAATAGGATTCACATAAAGGAACCTGCAAGCGTGCCCCTTGCCATTCTATGGGTTCACTGGGGACAGCCTAGTTCCCAAATGTACTATCGACCTTCCTGTAACTCTGGGGGAAACAACAAAGGTCAGAACAGTGATGGCGGAATTCTTAGTGGTGGACTGCCCGACCACGTACAACGTCATCCTTGGAAGGCCAATCCTGGATGATTTAAGCGCAAGCACATCGGTGCGCTACCAAGCAATGAGATTTTTGACTTTCGGGGGAGTTGTGACGATCAGGAGTTGTACCAAGGAATCTCAAGAATGCTATAACCGAGCTATAAACGCTGCACAGAAATGGCCACACCCAAAGACAATGATCATCGCAGAATCCAAGTTGAACCCCGAGCCACTAAAGGACATTATAGATCCTCGCATCCATAAAGAAGAGCCCGCAGTTAGACCGACCGAAGAGTTGCTAAGAATAAGTGCTAGTGAGGAAGATCTAACTCGCGTGCTAAAAATCGGCAACAACTTGACCAGAGAAATGGCTGATAATCTGGTCGAGTTCCTAAAATGGAACCTCGACGTATTCGCATGGGTGCACACAGATATGGTTAGGATCAGCCCCGAGGTGATGTGCCACATGTTGAACCTCGACCCACAGGCTCAGCCCATAAGGCAGAAAAGAAGGGCCATTGATGCAGAGCGCTCTCAGGCACTCAAGGATGAAGTTGAAAAACTCCTAGAAATCAACTTCATCAGGGAAGTCAAGTACCTCGACTGGCTCGCCAATCCAGTCCTAGTCAAGAAGTCAAACGACAAGTGGCAAACTTGCGTCGACTTCACGAATTTGAACAAAGCCTGTTTGAAAGACAATTTTTTGCTACCATGGATTGACAAGCTAGTAGATGTGACAGCAGGAAATGCACTATTATGCTTTATGGATGCATACTCGGGATATAACTAGATCTCGATGCACCAGCCTGATGAAGAGCATACTTCTTTTATTACTGATCGTGGAATTTATTATTACATGGTTGTACCGTTTGGCCTCAAGAACGCTGGGGCGACCTACCAATGCTTGGTGAATAAAATGTTCACCAACCAAATCGGCCAATCCATAGAAGTATACATTGACGACATGCTCGTTAAATCAAAGGTCGTCGAAAGTCACATTAAGCACCTGAGGGAAATGTTCAACATCCTCATAAAGTATCAAATGAAGCTTAATCCATTGAAATGTGCTTTCGGGGTGAGCTCCGGAACATTCCTATGCTTCCTCGTGAACCACCGGGTATAGAAGCTAACCCGGAGAAGATTCAGGCCCTACTTGACATGAAAAACTTGACTAGCATAAAACAGGTGCAGAGCCTGACTAGACGTGTGGCCGTACTTAGCAAGTTCGTTTCCCAAGCCACAGACAAGTGCTTACCATTCTTTGAGACCTTGAAAGGGAAGAAGGGTTTCAAATGGACAGAGGAGTGCGAAAGATCTTCCAGGAGCTGAAGAAACACCTCAGACAGCTTCTTATACTATCAAAGCCTATCCAGGGTGAGCTGCTACTACTATACTTGTTGGTATCAAAATCTATTGTCAGTGCGACATTGGTAAGCGAAGAGGGAGGAATATAATGGTCAGTGTACTATGTGAGCAAGAAACTGCTCGACGTGGAGATAAGGTACCCGGAGATGGAAAAACTGGCATACGCCCTTATTATTGCTGCCAGAAATCTACAACCCTATTTTCAGGCACACTCCATCCATGTGCTGACAAACTACCCCTTGAAGAAGAGAATGCAGAAGCCCAAGGCATCGGGTAGACTACTCTAGTAGACGATGGAGATGAGTTAGCACGATATCAAGTATATCTCGAAGACAACGATCAAAGGCCAAGCCAGGCCATGGCAGATTTTATATTTGAGTTCTCCTATCAACCAAAGGCTAAGTCAAGCCCACCAGAGGCAGATACCTCGGGAGAGATCGAGCAACAAAAACCAAAGAGTGACGACCTATGGTTATGGACTCTATATGTAGATGGCTTCTCGAATGAAAAGGGAACAGGAGCGGGCCTCTTGCTTGAAAGTCCAGAGAGAGGCCCAATCAGAGCCGTAGTAAAGTTCAGGTTCAACGTCTCCAATAACGAAACTGAATATGAGGCATTGCTCACAGGTATCTGTCACGCCAGGGAAATGGGGGCAAAGTCCATCAAGATCTATAGTGACTCATATCTCATGGTCTATCAAATTATCAGGGAATACCAAGCAAAGGGAGATAGGATGGCCTCCTACCTCCAACAAGTAGAGACTGAGCTCGGATAGTTTAGATCCTTTACCATTCATCAAATCCCAAGGGAGAAAAACTCGTAGGCAGATGCATTGGCTCGCATAGCCTCTGCAATGAGCAATGAGAAGGCTGATCCAATCCTAATTAAATTCCTCCCAAAACCAAGCATCTCCGATCTACGAGATCCAGTGTTAACCACAAGTCAAAGGTACAACTGGATGGATGCAATCACCACCTACTTGAAGGATGGCATACTGTTAGAGGATAGAACCGAAGCTAGAACACTCTGCACAAAGGCAGCTCGGTACAGCTCATCAATGATAGATTGTACAAGCGTGGGTTCAATGTACTGTTGTTGCGATGTGTTGACCACGAGGATGCAAATTATGTTCTGAGAGAAATACACGAGAGAATTTGCGAAAACCACGCAGGAAGCAAATCTCTAGCTTACAAGGTACTCTGCCAGGGATATTACTATCCAACAGTTTATGATGATACAGCAGACTATGTCTGTAGATGTGACAAATGCCAGAGATTTGCAGACATTCTACGAGCTCCACCACAAGAATTAACCACTCTGAAAAGTCCATGACCAATCATGATCTGGAGCATTGACCTTATCGGCCCCTTGCTTCAGGGAAAAGGAGGCCTTAAATTCACGGTAGTTGCCGTGGATTATTTTACCAAATGGGTGGAAGCCGAACCACTGGCAACAATAACGTCGAGCCGGCTGAAGGATTTTTTCTATAAGAACATAATTTGTCGGTTTGGGATTCCCCACACAATAATAACTGACAATGGGAAGCAGTTTGATAGGGAGGATTTCAAGACCTTTTGTGAGCGGCTTAGTATCAAGAAGAGTTTCGTTGCTGTCTATCGGCCTCAGGCCAATGGAAAAGTAGAGGATGTGAACAAAGTAATCAAGCACACCATAAAGAAGAAGTTCGACAACCTTAAAAGGAGGTGGACTAACGAGCTGCCAGAAGCTTTATGGTCCTACAGAACGACTGCCAGGAGCTCGACGGGCGAAACCCCATTTTCTTTATCTTATGGATGTGAGGCGATGATCCTGGTTGAAGTAGGAATCAGTTCGTTCTGAAAGGAATTCTTTGACGAAGAAGCAAACGAAGACCTTCTCTGCCTGAGGTTAGACCTGATCGAAGAACATCGGGTCAAATCTCAGTTAAGGCTCGCCTTGTATAAATAGCGAGCCAAGCGATACTTCAATACAAAGGTCAAAAATAGAAACTTTGAAGTGGGCGATCTGGTCCTCAGAAAGGTCGTCTAAGGTACTCAAAATCCGAACTTGGGGCCACTTAGGCCCAAATGGGAGGGTCCCTTCAGGATATCCAAAAAGCTCGCATAAGGATCTTTTCACCTTGAACGCCTCAACGGCGAAGCAATAATGCGAGCTTGGAACGTCGAGCACTTGCGAAGGTATTACCAATAAGCAACTCGGGTTTCACTTATTCTTATGTTCAGCATTCACGTTCGTTGTAAGGCCATTCATGGCCAAAATACTTTGTCAATAAACGGGGTATTATTCATTATTTTATTTGATTTATTGTTAATATCTTAAGATTGTTAGCATTTTACTAAATAGCGATCTAAGCAATGATATTATAAAAAAAAAATTGGAGTCAAGAGTCCAGGACAGGCAGCTTATCTCGAATAAGTCACGCCAAAATCCAACTCTAAGGGTGAAACATCCCCAAATCGACGAAGTTAAACTTAAAATTAATTTTTTCAAGAAAAAACATGTCGAAGGAAATCGGCCTTAAGCCGATGCCCAAAAAACTTGAAAAGGGCGATAAAGTCCGAAATCGAAATTGAACAACACATAAGATTTCCTCCAACAAATCTAAAAAAGTTTATTAGGAAGCGAGCTAAGCATAACTTTAAGCAAATTCAGATTTTAGTGTTCCAAGTCCTACTAGGACGACAAATCGACTCCGTAGAAGTATAATAAATATTGCTCGACATGGAAACGATAAAAGTTTCTTTTATTCATTGAGTTTAATTACAGAGGCAATAACAAAAAAAAAAAAAAGGTGAGAAAATGAGTCTTCAGATGGGTGGGGGAGCAAGAGCTTCATCCTTGACCTGTCTAGGAAGGTCGTCGTCAAGAGGAAGAGATGGCTCGTCAATAGGAGGAATGGTGACTTCCTCTCTAAGGTTGGGAACCTCAGTTGATGGAATTATAGTCAGGGGAGTTGGATCCTCGACTTGGAGCTAGGGCTCGGCCTCCTTCTCGCCTCCTTCGACCTCCCATTGGTCCTCACATATGTCTCCCCCCGAGCTTCAACCCTTATCCTTTTGACTTCTTTCTGATAAGCTCGAGGAAGGAAAGAGAAGTTGATTGAAGGATGGGCTTCCTATAATTTTAAGACAAGGAAGATAGATGTTTCCCAAGCCCGAGTAGTTATGGCCTCGTTCAACTCATCAATCCAAAGCCTAAGCTGTCTAGCCCCAGCTTTGGCCTCTTGGTGACCCTCTACCTCCTGGCCAAGGTTGAGCGAACACTGTTTGGACTTGGCCTCCCAGCTCGCGACAGCCTTTTGAGCCGAGGATAACTCAGAGTTCAGTTTGTTGTTGGCACCCCATTGTTATGCCAAAGTCTCTACGACCTCTACTGCCTTAGCTTCTGCCTTAGCCCGAGCAGCCTTGGTCGCTTTCATCTTATCAAAGAATTCCCTTTCCTTAACTTGGAAGGTCGTAACTTCCTCCCTAAGCCACTCAAGCTCAGCACGTCTGGCTTCTTTCTCCTTCTCTACAAGCTTGGCCCTAGCTAAAGCATCCTCCTTCACCATCTCCTCGTACAAAAGTTTGCTCGCCATGGCAACCTGAAAAGAGAAGATGAGGAGTCAACAAGAAGCGAGAATAGCATGCAAAAGAAAAAGGGGCGCGAACTATCGGTACCTTCGCCGCGTAGCTGCAAGTTAAAGCCAACATCTAAGAGGGAGACGAGCCTCTAACGGCTGCGAATGTTAGCTGGGTGACGATCTCCCTGGCCACCATGGCCCCAACACCGATATGGTCAAGGCGTTGGTTGATCAGCCCGTCGACCATAGCTTAGGCCACTTTGTCCGTTTTTTTATTCTTTGGCTGGGACGAGCCTGGTTCATTCCCCCTAACAGCACCAGCCTCGCCAGTAGGAGCGGAGTTCTTCTTGGCCAAGCCTTTGACCATTTATTTTTTAAGGCCACCAGCTTGCATGGCGACCTCTTTGCCCAAGCCATCATGCCGCTCAGGTGCTTTACTTTTTCCCGAGCCTCCAGCTGGCTCGGACGTCTTCTTCACAGGCTCCTTTCGAGGCTTCGTAACGCTTTTCCTGGCAGTCGCGGGCTTCTTCGCGCTTGGGCCTTCCCCAAGCTCGCCACCGGCGAGCTTCGAGCCTACAATGTCTGCAAGCTGCTTCGTCCCCGAAGCAGCTGGAGCTTTCATGGCAATCGCAGAGGTAGCTGTTTTCTTCTTTTTTGGTTTTTCGGCCCACATTTTGTAATACCCAAGATGTCAAAGGTATGTTCCTAACTCAAAATAGTCCTTTAGATATTAATTTTATGTTAAAAAACATAAAATCTAACTAAGAGCAAAATAGTCAATTCATTTGGAACAGTATGAATCAATTATCCATAGAAAGGTATTAGGGGCAAAATAGTCATTTTGCCCATGGATAAGTATTGCA